CATTTTCTAGAGGGACATCTATCAGCGTTGCACTCGCGTCTCGCACAAGAGAACCGCATGTTTAGAAAGGCAAATAAAATTTATGCAAGTTCAACTTATCTTGAGACTAAATGGCGGGTTTTTTTCCCCATCCCACTGCAACTCGTGTTTTTAAATGAAAAATGTACTGTGTGATTTCGGTCCTTTGTATTAAACTATGCATACATACATGATGCTGTTTTGTTTATAGTTGTTTAAGCAACTTAATTATAATTGGTTTATAAACATTATTTTAAACATTATGCACTTTTTTTTCACGGATAGTCATGTTATCTTATGCTTTGAATAAACGTGCATTAGTACTCTTTTTTTGCTCGATGCGCCCTCTTGTGGCCTCAGGAGAGAAGCCAAAAGCTTTTCTTCACCCTAACTGAAATTATGCATTTTAAATTCGAATAGAATTCGAATTTTGATCATATTTAAGTGAAAAATTTGAATGTAGTTTTTCAGCCATTTTGACAGCCCTACTGTCCATGTAGCCTAAATGTACCACTATAAATAAACATCCACTATAAATAAACATATGTCCTGTATATCTATTGATGATAACAACAACGAAACACAGTCAACATCCCAAATGCCCTTTACTTGCTTAACACAGCGCCTAACGCACACATGACAGGAAGTCACGTGACCACAGCGGTCACACAGATAATCAACAGCGCACAGACAGGAAACTGAGCAGAGCTGAGCTGAGAAAATAAAAATCAATACCACCCCATTTTACACTGCAGCTCAACTAACTCAAGTCAAACGCTAATAATATTAATCAGCACTGCATTTCCCATGATCCTTAGCTGCACTAAGTTTTAAAGGCCAGTGAGATGAAGGCTTCTTCCCGCCAGGGTTCAGTTTAAGGTGACATTTCCTGTCAAGTCTCTTTCTCAAGCGGCGCTTTAGACAGCCCACACCCTTACTATGGGAAAGAGCTCTAACCAGACGTACTTTTCAACACCAGCCATGTTGCAATATGTAATTACAAGTATTCAAGTATAAAAAATGATGTAAATATGTTGTTCAAACTTTGGAATCTGAAAAACCTGGATATACAATAACCGATGATCTGTTAACCAATATATTTCAAACAGACATATCTAACTTACCAATCAATATTTCATGTATATTTATTTAAATTAAAAATTATAAATAGGTGGGAAAAAGTACAGTCAGTCTTGCCGTGAAGTGGAGTTACATTTACATTTATTCATTTAGCAGTATTATATATTAGTAATAACATATAATAATTATAATTATATATTAGTAATGCTTTGGGATCAAACATAATTTTATGGAAGCTTAAGAAACTGAACACATCCATGTTTACAGGTTTATACAAATATGAATGCTTCTGAAGAAGTTCTTGCAAATGGATATGATAAAGGCTCAATCTTGATATTTTTTTCAAATATATCCAGTATATAATTTTTTTTTTTTTTACAGTTTTGTATGAGATTCTTTGTAGCATGCAAATGCAAAGTAAAATTGCATGTTGTGCTTTGTACTTGGGCCAAAATGTATTCTGTTGAAATTATTCCTTTGTGGATGGTTCTTGGAACACTTGCAAACTGAAAAAAAATATTTTTTACGTTGATACTCGATAGTCAAAAGTCTGGCTATGCGAGATTGAGATATCAGCATTCTCCTAGAAAACATCCCAACCCCCTTCACCGGACCCAGACAGCTGAGCCACATTCCTCACAAACACACACGACTACAGCACGTTACAATATACTGTTAAACGTCCAGGAAACATGCTGCTCATGTATTCAGTGGTATGCTGGATATTGCCTCAGACTTCAGGAGTCTGGACAAGTTGCAGCCTGTCTGAGTCACACTAGGAAGACAGACAAATTAAACATTACAGGTACATATGCAGAAAATATAGAAGAGTCAGAATTAGTAGAAGTGAGGACATAGTTGTCAAAAAAGGTTTAACACCCAACTTTCTACAGCAATAAAGTAACAGAAAGCATATCTGCCGAGGCCTTTGCGCACAGCCTATTTTTAAACAAGGATCATGATGGAACAACAAAACACATTCATTACTCGTCAAAACCAGTGAGGCCTTTCGTTCACGATGAATAATTCACAACATAACTGCATACTCAACTAAGAAAAGATGATGGACAGTTCACATGTGAGGAGTATTGTTGTCTGTAACAACCCTGAGCCACAGTATGACAGCATTACACTCATTCTGCGTAATAGCCTTCAAATCGTTTTGACTCTCAAAGTACGTTTTTGGTGTTTAGTTATGAGCACTAAAGTTAAATGTGTTTGTTTGACATATTTTGTCAAACTTTGTCAGAACATGGCGCTTGAGAACCATGAAATAAGACCATCATATTTACTTATTTATTTAAAGCTAGTTTGTTCCCAACTAAATCAAAATAAAAACAACGTGGACATAACACGTTTCATAGAAAAAAAAAAACATATTAATATCAAATTCTAAAGGAGCTAAAGCTCTGAATAGTGAATCAAATGTCAACTTATTTTAATTTATCTCTTAAAAGTCACACTTGACACAGGCAAACAGCGCCTGTTTTAATGCAGAATAAGTTCGGCAAAAGTAACATCTGCCGATCGTCAGTCACTCACCGACACCGTCCTCGGATTTCAGCACCATCGCGCTCTCTGAGTCTCTAGTCACTTGATACCGTAAATAAATCAACAGAAAGTTACAAATATCTCGCTTTACAACTACAACTCAACTTTACCGTCAACTTTCGAGAACAGAATCGGGTGTTTTACATAATAGACGAGAGCGGAAGGATTGCGGTCGAGGAAGGGTGTTCATCCGTGAACAGGGGAGTGTCTTTAACCGTAGCCGGCCAATCCCGAGCGCGTACCGAGACCGAGAGGACAAGCGAGTGAGTCTACCCCGCTTCCGACACGGGCCGTGTCTCAAATCCCGACTCAATCACTCACCCACTACTGTTGTGTGGCTATAACAAAACGCGTGAACAGGGACAGATTTGGTTAGATTACCAATAAACACTCAAATTCGAGCATGAATGCATCTGAAATTAAGCTTGTATTTGTAAATATGACAAATTAGTCATTTTTAAAACAGTTAAATAAACGTGACATAGCTCACTTTTACACCCCTTGAGAAAATTCCTCCACCTTTCCTCCACAGTCTGTGGAACTTCCAAGAGAGCAGCAAGAGAACTTAAATTAATTCAAACGAATTAAGTTATATAATCTCATAATTAAAATGTTAGATCACAAACGGACCTCATGTTCCTTATGATAGGCTATAAAGTTAGCATGCACATTTAACAGATGAGTTTAGGCTCTGACAACTTTTTGTCAAATCATAAATGTCTGATAATTTTTTTAACTCCTATAATTTCTACTAAATCTCTCATATGGCTTATTAAAATCAGCAGGTCTATACAGAACATAAACAAAATGCCTCTGTGGGTTTATTAACAAGTGGCGGATGTTAATAGGCAACGCCTTTACTCTGATCACTTTTAAATGGATAAAAGTGTTTTACAGCTATTTTTGTTTTTGTTATGGTTATTATCACCAGTGTTGGGGAAAGTTACTTTTAAAAGTAATGCATTACAATATTGCGTTACTCCATAAAAAAGTAACTAATTACGCCACTTAGTTACTTTTTATCGAAAGTAATGCATTACGTTACTTTTGCGTTACTTTTGAAATCTGGACAAGGCTTGCTTTTTTTTTTTTTTTTAAATAAAAAAGTTCTATTTTTGGCAAATACTGTATAAAAGCCTTTTCACACCAAAAGTGAAATGAATAAGCCTCAGGCTGAAGGGAAAGTAAATTTACGTCCGTACAGTAGAATGCAGAAGAAGAAATTTCAACACACTTCAGCAAAAAAAAAAGACACAAATGTTTGTCTAGAGTAATTTTTAATGGTTGAACTGGATCATCGAAGGTCAGAAGCAAAGACATTGGTTAATAGAATGGGATTAAATACATAAAGGATATTTGTCTTGTTTAACATTTAATTATTGCATGTTTGTGTGTTTGTGTGTGTGTGTGTGTGTGGGTGTGTGTGTGTGTGTGTGTGTGTGTGTGGGTGGGTGAGTGTGTGTGTGTGTGTGTGGTCCTGAACCGAGAGCAACATAAGACAGATAACACCTGATCAGCTATTAAAACAAGTGTACAAGGTACACTGTGCAGAATGATCCCTTTTTATAACTGTTTTATAGGTGTACTTGTATGTAGCGCAAGACTTGCATATGGCCACACAATTGCACATTTCTACCAATAAGCTAAATTAAACAAAGGTAAAAATGAATTTGATTCATCATGCTAATAAAAGAAGGGTGTGCACAACAAAACTAGAAGATTTGGTACACTGAAAACGGTTTCTTTAATTATGTAAGATTTAAGTCACAAAACACTTGATGTTCTGGAGAAACACACCACATGTGTTGGAATTGGAAACAAGTGATATTTTTTCTTGTTTATTGTAATATAGTTTCATACTTCTAGACATTGTGATGAGTACATAGATTAGTGTACTAAATAATCAAGTTGCCACGGCCCATTTGAGATAAAGTCTAAAGTTTTTGTAGACAGACACTCATGCATGTTGAGGTGAGAGGAGTATTATTTTTCACAATAAATAAAGATGTAACGATGTTGGAGGGCAGCTCTTTAGCCTAAGTGCTTTCAGGAACAGAAACTGAGGAAAAAAAACATTTAAAGGAAGAGGAAAAGCCTGGGTTTTAGTGAGTACTCACCTGTAAAAAAAAAAGTACTCTTTAGCGTGAGTACTTATTATGGAATAATATACTTTAAAAGAATATACTCAAGTGAAAAAAAATGAATGTCAATTGCAATTAAATGAAAATATATTATAGTTTACATTTATGTTAAATGCAATTAGTTGAACTTAAGAGTGCTTATTTTGACTCTCTTTAGTAGGACTTTCATTTATTTCATGCTAAGTATACTACAAATACATTTACATATTTATGCACTTAATAAAAATACCCTGCGATTGTACTTTTAGTATATACTAAACTGGTAGACTTAAAGTGGGCTAAATTGGAACAACTAATTTTGTACGTAATGCACTTTAACTGTGCAAAAGTGCTAAAGTAGTGCAACTAAAGATATACTGAAGTATATTCGTTTGTGCTAAAGTGGAGCTATTGGAAGTATACTTCAGGTACACTTTAAATATCATGCATTTAAAGACCGATATTATTCTTCAACGATCATACAGTCCTCATCAATAGTGGCATTAAAACACATTTTAAACTTAATAATAAAGGTGAAGAGCTTGATGAGACTTAATATTAAGAAATGTGCATTGTGCACAAGTAGTACTCCAAATAAAGTTTCATTACAGTTTTTATATCAGTAAGTCTCAAGCGATTTGCCAGTATGTTAAAATAAATGTATTTAAAATATATTACTTTTTTTCTATGGTTAAGAACGTCTTTATATGAAATTTCTTTTGTTGTCACTGAAAAATGCTAAAACTGTTGAATGTACTAATAAGCATTTATGGCAAACTAATATGTACTTTAATGTCATTTCTATGGAAACTTGTATTTCATGTAATTCCACATTTTTAATGAAGTTGCAATTTAGCACATTTCAAATATATTACATTTAAATGTAATATAAAATAACATTGCAGTTCAATTATAATCAAGTATTTTACATGTGCTTCAGGATGTTAGTCAACACATCAAAACAAGTGTACTTTTTCAAATCGCATCAAAATATTATGAAAATATAATTATTTAAAATGTAGACTGATATAATTATTTAAAATAAAATTAAACTGTACTTTAAAGTACAGTACAAGTGCACATTTGATACAATCAAGCACACTTCTTTTTCACAAGGGCTAGAGAGTCTAGTTTTCTAGCATTCCTCTCTAGTTTAACAAATATCACGGCCCAGTGTCCCAGTCTAACAATGTGTCCTCTGTCCAGCAGTGCTGTACTGCATATGAAGAATGTCTTCTGAGTGCGTCAACTGACCTACATACGTCAATTATACAAGACAATAAATCCTTGTTTTCGGATGTCAGGTCAGTTTTACAATAAGTGAGCCTTCAGACTATTATGGAAGAAAGAATTATGCAGTCTATTCAACATACAAATTAGATGTCTAGATGTGTGGGCTGGAAATCTGATTTATGTAAATATTATGTAAAAGTCAAATTGACATATGATTTGTTGGTTTCCATGCATACATTTATTGTGCAAAATGCATGTGCTGTAAATACCAGTTTCTGCATAAAATTCCAGATTATACATGGTCCGAAGAAAATGGGAAAATGGAACCATCTGTAAGATGCTTTCAACCACAAAGTGAATATTGCATATACATAACTCTTAGCTAAGTCTAGTACACCTCTCCTCAATAAGCCACATGATCATGAGTTATGAGTCAAGTTAATTCTTAGGTTAAAGGTTTGTGCAAATACTAGCAAACTATTTAATAAAACAAAACAGGTCTGCATGTTCTGAAATCGGCGGGATTCCTCTACTCAACCAAATGCGTGCTCTCAAACTGCTTTGTAAATGTGATTGTTGGCTTGTTATCATAGCAGCACACACATAGCTATTTGTGGAATGTTGTTTTTCCTTGTACTGTTTCTCAAGGCAGTGTCGGGAACGCTGTAATGTGGCTGTGGGAACGAGGGCCAGCTAGGTTGCGAACGCTCTCACACAGATCGAATCTAGCATCTACCTACTGCATGAGTCAGCAATCAGACAACCAGTAGAAAGCACACAGATAAACAGGCCCTACTACCATACAGCTGACGGTAGCCATTTACTTACTTTTTTTTTTTTCCATACTATGGAAGTCAGTGGCTCCCGTCAACAACATTCTTCAAAATATCTCCTTTTGTGCTCAGTTTTGAACAAAAAACCTTCCATATTAAAAAAGTTAATATTTTCAATTGTCAATTTTGATTTCATGTTGACAAGGACAAACGCTTCAGTGAATCCCATTTGACATTAAAGCTTGCAAAGACGCTATGATCACAGGCCAAAATCTGCTTTGAAGAGAAATGCACTGAGTGACCTCTGCTGGCTCTTACTGAAAACTTACAGCATAGCACATAATATCAGATCCAGTCTCAAAGAAGCTTTCAGGGGGCGTTTTTTGGGGGGGGGGGTAAAACACATATGCTGTTATTTTTCCAAGAAACACCAAAAGGGTTTAAAAAGGCATGAAATAATAATAAAAATATCTCCAGTTTATTACCAATGTTTTGCAGTTTTGGACATAATTGAATTAACAGCAAATAATCCAAAGGAAGACAAAGTATGCAGACTTAAGGAAAGACAAATTCAAGGAGAACATGTATCAAATACTATCATTTATGCCATATTTCATTAGCATACAGTGAATTTCATAACTCATATTCGATGCTGATAGGAAATCAATTGGAATTGTGGTTATTCTGTGGCCATAAGAGCCTCAGTAATCCAACTAAGTCCTGGATTTGGCTCTCCAGCTGGTTCCTCTCAGTTTCTGACCTTGCTAGAGAGATTAAAGCAGTGGGCATTTCCTGGCAAAGGCCCCACAGCAGGAAGCCACAGTGTCCCATGCACTTTAGGACATAGACCCCACACACATATTACATGTCTACTGTCGGAAAAGTTTCCTCCGTTTCTGACCTGATAAGACAAGGTTTGATTTTATTTTTTAATTGTTGGCCTTTATACACATGCAGGTGGATGTTCCAGTATCTAGTGGAAAACCTTCCCTTCTGTTATACAGCAGTAGCAACTGCTTTTTCTCCTCATGCCACTGAAATTAAATGTTCATCAAGACACAAGAGTTCAGGCT